TTTTTTTTTTTTTTTTTTTTTTGTAGACTGATAAAAAAACTGGAAAGCCTAAAATTTGGATGTACAATGACAAAGCAAGTGGAAGGCCTAAAGGGGAAGCAACTGTTACATATGATGATGCTCATTCTGCAAATAGTGCTATATCTTGGTTTAATGGTTTGTATTTAAATACTATTGAGAAATATTAACTTAATGGAAACTAAAACCAATTATATTGGATCTCTAGGTAAGTCGTTCAATGGATCTACAATTAATGTCCAATTAGCCACAAAAAGAGATAATTGGCAAGGAGGACGCGGCGGTGGTATGTCTGGAAGTACTCGTGGTAGTTCTGGTAGAGGTGGTGGAGGACGTGGAGGATATGGTGGTGGTGGTTATCAAATGGATGATCCTGTATCAGACGATCCATCAGAAGGAGGTGGAGGATTTTATGGTGGCCCCAGAGGTAATAATTTTTATTTAATTTGAAATTAAAAAATGTTATGTCTACATTAAATGTTCTTTTTTAGGTGGAAGAGGCGGTGGTGGCAGAGGTCGTGGTGGTGGTAGAGATGATCGTGGACCACCCCCAGACCGTAGAAGAGATGACCGTATGAGCAGTGGAGGTGGAAGAGGCGGTGGCCGTGGTGGTGGAAATGATTCAGGTGGCCGTGATGGAGACTGGAAATGTTCAAATCCAACTTGTGCCAACACTAACTTCTCTTGGCGTCAAAACTGTAACAGRTGCAATGAACCAAGGCCTGAAGGATTTGGTGATAGTGGAGGCAGACGAGGCGGTGGTATGGGTGGTGGGCGCGGTGGACCACCCATGCGTGGACGTGGTGGTGGTATGGGAGGTGGTCGTGGCGGCCCTAGTATGGGTGGAAGTCGCGGTGGTATGGGTGGTGGCGGCGGAGGTAGAGGTGGTTTTGGAGGAGGCAGAGGAGGACCTGGCGGCCGTGGAGGTGGCGGAGGACGAGGTGGTGGACCAATGCGAGAGTAAGTTAATATTGATTAATTTTAAATCTGCATATTAATTTGAATATTTTTCTATTTTTTTTTAGTGATAGAAGAGGAGACAGAAACCGTCCATACTAATTATTAATAATAATAAAAACAAAAACTAAATATTTTTAGCAGTCTAATTTTTTTTATACATTCTTTTATTGACAAAATATGCTTTGTGTATTTGTAGCTAGATAAAACTTTACTAGGTTCTAAATTGCAGAAGTTCTGGAGTTCATGTCATTAGTTTTTCTTTTATGTAAATAAATAATAAGGTAATCATATAAATGTAATGAACAAGATTTCTATAACCATGTATTGTTTTTGATTCTGAATTGTATGAAAATTATAATTTATTTTCATTGTTTAGACTATCATTTGTGACTTCTCAACCTMATTATTCATAATAAAATTACTTGTATTGAGTATTATTATTTAGATACCGCTATTGTTTTTTGTAACTTTTAAATAATAAAGTCAATAATTCATTATTTCATTTTGTTGTTAAATTAATTTTTATAATAATTTATTGATCCAATTTGTTACAGATATTAATGATGTGCTATTCAATATGCTAAATAATTATTTACATTAGATTAGAGTTTATTTTATTTGAATCATACAAATGTTTTTTGTATATATTTTATGAGAAAATTGTACCATTCCTCTAGGTCAGGGGTCACCAACTAATTTCTATGGGGGTCCGTTTTGAAACTTACCAAACTTTACGCGGTCCAAACAGTTTCAATGACATAATTTATAAATTTGTGATTATATTTATTTATCTATTCACATTGTATTTTACACACATTAATAAATAGGTATATACATTTTAAAATTTGTATTTANTTACAAAAAAAAAGATTATGTTTGAAATATTTCATTTTTAATGTGAAAAATTGGTCAAATTCATACGCGTCACTCCGACGACGGCGCGTTTCCCTCGCCGGTTTGGCGCGTATGAACTTAATCAATGTAAAATGAAAACGAGCTCGCGGTCCATAAAAAAAGTGCTCGAGGTCCGTATCCGGACCGCGGTCCGCCAGTTGGTGACCCCTGCTCTAGGTTAACAACTAGTTAGTTTCAACACTTTTTTTTGTAACTTAAATGCCACACAATGGTGTGTAATCTTATGTTAGTAACGCAAAAACTTCATCAATCTTACTAATCCATATGAGAACTAATACAATTAACAATTAGATATGATAAAAATAAAGTTACAATATTTATGTGCTATAATAATTCCAGATACTTCTCTAAAAATATTCCAAGATATAGTTGTGATACCTTTTCTAAATAGCTCATGTCATCGTCATGGCAATATTCTGTTATTTTTTCGGAAAATTAATTTAACGACCAGAAAATGCAACCAGTCTCCTTTTATTAATGTAATTTAAGAATTGAAAACTACTAAAAAAATTAAAAAGAATGTTGTCCAGATATTAATAAATATATAGTATCATTTATATTAGTTGAGTCTCGTAGTCAACACCTCAATTAATATAAAAAATAACCTTGGAGAATATCTGACAAAATAAGCTGTTAAGAATAAAATATCTGTATACTCAAACTGAACTGATTAGGTTAGGTTAACCAATGTTAAATTTTTTTGTGTCAACGCATTTTCATGTTTTAGAAAATATAATCTTCAACTTTGGGAATGGATTCTGAAAATAAATTGGATATCATGTTGGTACTTTAAATGACTAAGTATACTAATTCTTAGTTACTTTTAGGATTAATTTGGAAAAACAAGAATTTTAATGTCTAACCAATTTTGTACAAAATTGAAAATGTTTATTGGTTGATCTTAGATCTATAATAAACAACTATATATGATTATTTCATAAACTTTTTTTGAGCTATTTAGAGAAGTTTGAAATTTTAAGTTTTTTCATTTCAAGATGTACGAAATAAATGGCTAAACAATCTAGGATTCCTCATAAATGCATAATATAGCAATTTACTAATAATATATTAGACGAGCCATTGCAGTCAACATTATTTTCAATTTGCCAATACATCAATACATCACCTTTTTAAATAGTAAAACAGCTTTGATTTTGAGCTACAACATATTTTCTGATAGGTAATTCATACAAGTTGGGCCACGGTATAGTCTTTAAAATATTTTTACTTGTTGAACTGATTATGGATATTTTCAGTGTTTGGATCGACATATAATTTTAAAACGCTTAGTAATATATAGTATCTTATGCTATTTTTTGTTGGAAAAAATTAGTAATTACTCATAGTAGCATAAAAATTTTTAACAGTGATATAAAATAACCTTAGAAAACAGAAGTAAAGACTGACAGACAGTCTCCTCTTAAAATCGTTTTTATACCGGATTTATCCTACTACACAGGCTGTAAGCCTGTAACAGGTGTATTTGACTATTGCTTTAACTTTTTCTATTTAATATTTTTAAGTTTTTTTGTAATTATTTCTTTTTCTTTTTTATTTTGTAAACACTTTCTCCCTCTCAACTTGCTCAAAAGTATCAAGTGTAACATCTTTTTTTAAAGGTAATGCTCTTGAGCTAGTACTTTAGAGAGGTCATGTTTCGAAATGGTACTCGAAATATAAGTGGTTAAAGGAGACAAAACATAAGATTTCACAATTTTATAATATTAAATAATTACGGATGACGTTTTTTACCAGAAATATTGCTTCTAATGATAGATCTTTTTTGTTGTATTTTGGATTTTGTTCCTTAAGGTTTAAAGTTTGGAAAATGTTAGAAATTTTTGAGCTATTTATAGACATTTTAATTTTGGGAGTTTTTTGTTGTAATTCTTTTAAAAACTTGAAATTTGGGTTGTTTACTTATATTAGCCTTACCTAGACATGGTAAAATTTTCAAAACATTCGAGTGACTCATGAGATTTTTCTTTTTTTTTTTCAATTTTATAATATTTCCTAATTATTAATTATAATTGCATAAATTACCTATTTATTTAAATCGTTCATAAGCTGTTCTTATAAAGCTTCGCTTATCACCATAGAAACGAACAAAATTAAATAAAAAAGATTCCCCCGTCCGCTTAGAATCGTTTTTTATCGAATACAGTAAAATTAACTATCCTGTACGAGACCAAACATCCACCACAAAAATGCTGACTTACTTTTTTATACATATAAATAAAAAGCTGAATTACTTGTTTTTATATGTTATATATATATATATTTTTTTTACAACTAAAATTAAATAATTTTAATTTTTTTCTTACTATCCAAGATGGCTATTTTATAAATAAGTATTTAAAAACAGTTTTGGTATTTAAAACTTTTAATTAATTTGGTTACATCATTGATTTTTTAATCATTTTCAAAGTTTATTTAAATTCAAATTTATTTATTTATAATCTGTTTTGTTATCTTTAAAAGGTAAGTAATCGATAGTAAATAAATGTATTTAATCATTATTTAACATGACCATGTAACGTCGTAATGCTTACTACAATCATCAGTCAAATAGACCTGTTACACGTTGTATAGCAATCATCTTATTTTTAAAAATTGTCAGGTAAACAAATTGCAATATTGTTGTAGCATTTTTATTAATGGTATTTATAATAAATATTAGACTATTAAATCTATTTAAAAATTAATATTATGATTTACGGAGAATTAATAATTTGCAAAGATGTTATATTTATAAAGGAAATCAATATGAGTAATAAAAACATAAGTTGTAACCAGTTACATTAAAAAATTTATTAATCTTATTATAAGAAAACCATTGTGATAAATAAGAAATATAATTCTATTAAATGAATTTAACATATCTAAATGCCTACACCAAAAAAACATTTTTGACATTAGGTAGGTTCACCTTGAGGCGGTCTAAATTATAACTTAAATCATGTCTTACAGATTAATAATATAGTATGTAAAGATATTATCAAACTAAAAACAAAAACCCACTATTATTATTTATACTTTTAAATTTAATTTCAAATAGTTGGTTGTGTACACAGTTGATAATATTTAATTAGTAATTACAATTTGTATTTAAAAATGAGGTTTCCATTCAGTCTTTGCGCTTCTTTGATCCTTGTTCCTACAACAATAAAATTATAGTTTTGATTGATATTCATATGTTTTAATATTAATTTTTTACCTTTTGTGCTAAAATGATTAGCAGTCTTCTGAAAATTCCAATGAAGTCCACAAAGAGATCAATAGAATGAGCAATGAAATCCTTGTCTCCTGCTCTTCTTTTTTCCATAATTAACTGAGTATCGTACAAAACAAAACCACTCATTAGCGCAAGTCCAAGGTAAAGATAACTCTGAAATATACATAAATAAGTTAGCAACTAAAATGAATTAACACAACAGTTAGTATTAATATTATATATATTATGAACATACCTTGAATATAAGCTCTGAACCAAGGAATAAATTGGCCAAAGACAAACACATGAGGACAGACAGCAACGACATTAAAGTACCACCTAGATAAAGCCATTTTCCACGTTCGGCAAAAATGGCAGACAAGCTGAATGATGTGAATACCAATGTAGATGCCAAAAATGCTGTTGGTATGATACTAGGGTCCACATGGATAACATATTCTAAGACTGGACCAATTCCAAGACCTATATAAGACACAATATTTTAAATAAATACATTTTGATATAGGTAGGATTACCTTTGTTATTTATGAAAACTAACCAGTGAAGAAAGTAAATCCAACTAAATAACTCATTCTGAGAGATCGATTTTTTCCATTATCTTGTGTGTACATAAGTGCTAAAAGTAATCCAGTAGCACCCAGAGTTGTAAATAATCCAGCACTTAAAAAGTTTGTGAAAACATGTACATAAGCCCCAATTGCTGCTGATATCATAGATACTGTCAAACAGGCATACACATTGACTAAATGTGTACGTACTGGCTTTTCACTAGACAAAAAAAGGTTCGATATTTTATTAAAGATAAATTAACTCAATAGAAATAGTATGTTTTTTTAAGCATGTAGTTATAGGTAGTGTTTTCTTTTTGCTTAATATAAAACTACATATTGATTAAATATGGTAATACTTATTATTCACAAAGCAACATTATGAATAGATGATTTCTCAGATATTTCAGTATCTAAATGATTAAAACCATTCAAATTATGTAGATAATTTGAGAGGTTTATAATATTAAACAAATTGGTTTTTAATCTCTTCTGCTTAGGTTAGGTTTACACTTTTAATACAACATCATTAATTAGTAAATTAAAACTTTAATAGTTGAAAGGAAATTCCAAAGTTACTAAAAAAGTGTATAGCATGCATATTTAGGTACTTAAAATAGCCTAATAAGAGCCTATACACAACTCTTCAAATTTCTATTAAGGTTTTTTTTTTTTTATTAAGAAAGACAATTTACAATCTGTACACAGTAGTTATAATAAGCAAATAAGATAAAAACAGTATAAAGTAGCATGAATGACGTGATGAGGAAGAAACCCAATGGTAACACCTCCTTTACTAATTTAATAGGTCTCTACACCATTTTCVCTTTAGTCTGCGTGGTGGGTTTTTTGGGAGGGTGAGGGAGGACATGTGTGATATTAAAGTATTGTGATGAGTGCTTAAATTTTGGTGRAAAYDTTTATACATTGTTTTGGCTAGTTCAGTGGTAGTTAATATTTTTAGGTCTATTAAGGTTAGATATTTATAAGGGTGAATAATTTTTTAGTCTAATAAAACATTTTCTATTACAATTTATAGGTAGCTAGGTATAGATGTATCATAATATTCATAACATTTATAACCAAAATAATAGATAAATTCGGGGATAAATTGATAATATTAAATACCTATCATTCTACAAATTAACCTATGATTGTTATTGCAAAATTTTAGTTAGTAACATTTTTAATTATAACTATTTCAATTTAAAAGGCACAACTACTGTGAAGTCTCCCATTGAAACACATCAAACACGATTCAAATAATTCTTTTAAAATTATCAAACTTTACGCCATAATAAAAATAAATTGTTAGTCATAAGAAATATTTATTATTATTACCTACAACTAATAATATGTTTCATTATTTTTATTAATCTATCTCTTATTAGTTTTTATACAATAATATTATCAAGAACACACAAATTGACTTAATGTGTGATGTTAAATGATTAATGACTTATGTGATAATAAAAAGTAATAAAAAAAACATACAATTCACTATGTTGAAGCCGTCATAGAATTGACAGATAAATAGTAATGATGGGTTGCATAAACATTCATTTAACATTGAATGAATCAATCGTTAGCTTATGGTACTTTAGATACGATATAGTAGCTTAAGATTAGTTAATTAAATTTCAGTGAATTATTTGATGATTAATTAAATTTTTTTTTATGAATTTTAGAGCATAATAAATAAGCCAAGCAGTGGTAAAAATAAATATTTTAAAAAATTAATTCAAAAATAGAAAAATTTATAACTTTAAAAGATAAAAAGTATTCAACATTTGTCTAAATAAACACACTGTAAAAATGGCGATGAACAAATTTAAGAACTAAGCATAATGGTTAATGAAAAATAAACATAATAAGTAGATAGTCTGACATTCATCAAACGATAGGCATAACGATCTATAAAAAAATATTTATGTAAAAGCTGTCGATTGATATCTATAGTGAACTGAATAATTTATTTATGTAATACCAACATAAAAGTCGTAATTAGCATACTACATATTTAGTATGTCATTGGAATTTTACTATTAAGTGGTATTACGCGACTATTTGCAATTGCAATGAATGTTATTATTTTATTATTTTTGTCGTTTCCAACTTTCAAGGATAACGGCATGACATTTCAAGACGTAACTGAATTAGTGAAGTCTGAACGACTGACACAAATGTCGTATCTGACTGTCTGAGGCATATTATATAATTATATAATATCTTCTCTTAATAGGAGCGATAATAAAAAAAAAATGGCGTGTTAACTATAACGAGTAACGACACCGACCGCAGAACAGCGTTCGTCGATGACCGACAAAAATAAAGAGAGAATTTCCAGTCTCCACTCTCCGGAGGCATAATATTCATTGCATTTTATTATTTTTTATTTTCAATATCATAGGGGCATTTCAATAACTAGGTACAACAATAGTAATAATAATAATAATAACAAAAATCTGAATTCAATTCGTATGAGCGGGAACTTACATTTTCGACCCGAACGAACGGGCGAAATTGCGGAACGTCGTGGTCGACATGTTCGGTTCTGCGTGCGTGTTTATTTATAGGCCAATACGTCCGGTCGGATGCGAGAACCACGATCGAGATGAAAAGAGATCTCACGATCTATTCCCGTCGGCGGAAGTGAATACTACGATCACTCGTATCGCGTTAAAATTCGTCGATCTTTCAGTCGCTAATGCGATTTAAAATTATTAAGTCGTCGTTTAGTCGTAACTTTTTAAAATTTGCACAGTGGTCGTGTGAAGTGTACAATAAGCTCGAATCGCGTTAAAACAACTAAACATTAAACAAGTGAACAACAACAACACTGAGCACTGAACAGTGACACACTCTAGGAAGTGGGAACACGTAAATGAAAATCCGATGACGTCAGCGACGGGTCGGGACCTTGGCCGCGGGACGCTGTAAAAACGGCCGTCGACCGCACAAAGATGTTACGAAACACCCGACACCGCATTTTCCCGCGTTTTCTTTATTTTCTTATCATTTCGTTGGATACGATTAATGTACGATCAAATTAAAATAATAACTCTTTAGTCTTTACCTTTTATTCTTTAAAATAGTGCCACTAACCGAACACAACAAACATTTTGTTTTTTGTTTTTTACACAGTCGAGGTGCTCTGTAAATAGTAACATATATATATTATATTTATTGTAATTCTTATAACCTTCGACTTTACGTTTCGGTCGTTGGCTTTTTTGTCAGACTGTCTGGCAATCGATACATAGTATAAATTATAAGACTCCAGAGCAACAACCACATACTAATCATGTCTGACGACCAGTTTCCTGACTACCTTAATGTCTACTACAAAAAATTGTTTCCGTACTCGCAGTTTCACAAGTGGTTGTCCTACGGAAATGGTAAGTTTTTTTTAATCATCCTATAAACAAAAGTTTAGTCAAAAAGTTGATTCATTCTTATTCCTTAAACACTCAACTGTGGACGATAGGCAGAGATATGGGTCAAGTTCAGTATTTAACCACCAATATATATATTTGTAGTTATTGGTCTCCCAAATTAAAAATGTATTTTGTGGTACCAATTACTAAGCATTACCATGTATAATTTTTAGAAAATGTATACAGCTAGACTACTACTGACCTGAAAAAATTTGGTTATTTGTGACTATATTTATACTATATATTGTATATTACTTCATTATAGTAAAGTTATAATACAATTAATACCTAAGTAATAGACATTATATATGGTGTACAATGATGATAAAAATTACACAATACATTTTTTAATTCTATTAAAACTTTATTTATATTAATTGTTCTTATGATTCTATTTGAAAATAGATTGAATAAAAACTCTTATGAAACTAATAAATAAAAACAGGGAAAAATATTGTTGCATGTTATTTTTAACATAAATAATTTTATTGTCAGATGTAGTTTTAATGTATCCTAATAACTGGCCACCACTGGTGCTATTATGTATTATAGATGTTTACAGATAGTTTTTTTCTTAGACATTTTTATTCACTATAGATTTACTTTTAATTTGTGTTTTCAGTGAAACCAGAAAACTTTTTAAACAGAGAATTTTCATTCACATTACATGAAGATATTTATATTAGGTATCAATCGTTCAACACATTGCAAGAATTTGAAACCGAAATCCAAAATAGATGTCCTTTCAAAATAGATATTGGAGCTGTGTTCAATATGAGGTTTATATAATTTTTTTATTATTAAATATATTTGATCTTAATATATATATATAAACATATTTATTTTTATTTTAGTCCCAAAGTCTGCCGAAATTATCCTCAGTTCCATGCTCTTGAAAAAGAACTAGTGATTGATATTGATATGACTGATTATGATCATATCCGTACTTGTTGTTCGGGTGCTGACGTGTGTCAAAAATGTTGGAGGTGTGTAAAAAAAATTTTATTTTAAATATACAGTAGGGTCTCAATAATCTGAACGAGATTGGGGAAAGAGGTCATTCGGATTAGCGATTTGTTCGGATTACATATGGCTTAAAAAAAAAAAAAAACATCAATTTTATTTTAATTTAAAATATGAAATTTTATTTTTATTTGTATTAATCGTGTAAAAACTCGTAATTTCAAAAGATAATGAATACATAAAAATATTTATATAATTATGAGTATAATGAACTTTACCATTTAAAATATTGATTTTTTTTTTGTACATTGGTTCCCATTATGTATTGGTATACCTTGTCCCACATAATTGAAAAACTTTATTACCTGTAAATATTATTTATAAATACATACATATGTACATATTATGGCGATAAGATAATTCTCAAACCCGTTCGGATTATCGAGACCCTACTGTATAGGGAACATTTAATTTTATATTCTTGTTTAAGATTTATGGTTATTGCTGTAAAAATATTGGAACGAGCTATTCGGGATGATTTTGGATGGAAGCACCTGCTGTGGGTATTCTCAGGTCGTCGAGGTATCCATTGTTGGATATGTGATGAATCTGCAAGAAAACTCTTACCTTCTGAACGTGGATCATTCATTGATTATTTGGCAGTATTAACTGCAGGGGATTCAAAAAGATGTAATGTGAATCACCCATCTGTGAAGTCAGTTGCAAAAAATATAACTATTATATTTTCAATTTAATTACAAAAACATTTTTTTTTTTTTTTACTAACAACAGACGTAGTATTGCCATTATAAAAGAAGAGTTCAATTCACTTCTTTCTGAGCAAGATTTCTTAGGAACAACAGAACAGTGTAATAAAATTTTGTCATTTATAGCTGATGAAAAACTTAAAGAACAAATTAATTTACAATTTTCTAAATATCAAAGTAGTATACAACGATGGGAAGCGCTTACTGTTATTGTTGATAATAACCATAAAAGGGTAAAATTTACAAATCGTCAATTATATATAATGTATATTCCTAATTTGACTCACATGCATTCACTTTTATTCTAACAGGGGCTATTGAACTTTAAAACTAAACATTGTGTAGAAGATATTTTATTGTACTTGGCATATCCAAGACTTGATGTGAATGTAACAAAAGGGTTAAATCACTTGTTAAAGTCTCCCTTCTGTGTTCATCCAAAAACTGGAAAAGTTTGTATACCGATTAACCCAAAAGTTATAGAGAAGTTCAACCCAAATACTGTACCTACTGTCAAGTAAACAACAATACAATTTTATTTTATTACCATATTTCATTTATTTATTTGTTGTAGTGTTTTAATTGATGAAATTAATGAGTATGACAAAAAACAAAAAGAAATTATTAATGATGCAAATCTTAGTAGTAATCGCTTAAAGGATTATAAAAAAACTTCATTATTAAAAAGCGTCAATATCTTTGAAGAATTTTTAAGGAATTTAGAAAATACTTGGAAAGGAAGTAGAATAAAACAAAGTGGTGAGTTACTTATTAGTRTTTGTACATTTAGTCATTTCTTTTTTTATAGTATTTAATCATTAAAAATATCTAAGAATTCTTTGCTATATAGCAGGTTTCAAGTAAACCTCATAAGTGAGTAAATCACTGTAAAGGATGTATTAAATTTGAAATGAATGTTATATTATTATTTACAAAAATAAAGATTCTGAGTGAAGACAGTGTGTCAACCTATACTTCAAATAATATTTTATAATTAATTTATATTACCCTTAATAAGATGGTATATTTTATCAATTTTTGATGAAAAAACATTTGTAAGAATGTCACATAAATATTATATAATTTTATTACGGTTAATGGTTATTATAAAACAATGTGTCACGCAAACAATTATTGCTCATAATTTTGTTTTGAATCAGTTTACTTATAACGTAATATTAGTGTCAATTTTTATTTCTTGTTCTTCGAGACTATCCTGTATTTAATAAACCTTAATTATTATTATAATACCATGTTACCATATCATATATTTTTTTTTAATGAAATGTTATTGCTAATGGTGAATACTTTTATTAATTTTTAAATTACTCAATCATTTACGCAGTATTGTAGAATTTTGATGAAAAAAGTTCTAGASCCGATTAATTACAAAATACCGCACTCAATATTGAAGATTAAAGAATTTTTACTGCTCCCAAAGGTGTTGTTAAATTAAATAAAAAAAGTCCACTGTAAGACCAATGTATTGATTACTTCACTCAGAATCTAAATTAATAAGATACATGCATTGTTTGTTCCACAAGACTTATATGCTTAGAATTTTACAATTTGATACATATTTGATTTCAGATATTAAAATGGAATTTTAGAATGTGTGGCATCTTCACTGTTAAAATATTGTGAAATCAGCGAATGAATGGTGAAATTTATTTCTACAGTATTATTCTTAAAACTTTTAAAATAAAATATTTTTTGAAACAATATGTATTTTATTTCATACTTCACTTCGGATATACCGTATAATTTTAATCAGTGAACTTGGAAAGCTTGGATTTCAATATGTGACAGAGTATGTGTAATTACCAAGGCTCTGAAGTTGTAGCAGTAAAAATGTTACCATTTAGCTCTTAAATATGCACTTAAAAACTTCAATAATAGCACGAAAAATCTAATTATTGTAATTTTAAAACTTTATTTAAAAAAAATAAATGTAATCTTACAATTTTATGAAATTGTTGGGCTCATATAGATGTCTGAAACTGTCTGAACTGGTTGGACTAATGTTAAATTACTTAAATATATTTGTAAAATGTTTGAACACACTAGTTTTCGAGCAATATTGATAACGACACGATGAATTTGCAGCGACAAATCCAATAATCGCAGTATATTTGACACGGATTAAATAACTGGAATTTGGCTGTGGAGGGATTATATGTTTTTTTGGAGAGGGATTAAATGTATTTTGGGGGGAGGGATCTGTCCCGACTGTCCCCTTTAATTATACCTCTGTATGGATGGAGGTATTTTGGTATTTAACATGTTAAAAGGACGTTATACCCGCATGACGTGTTGTCTTACAAGTACGTAACATCACAAATTTTACGCTCAGCAGATCACGTTTAAAATTGAGAGTGAATTCACCTGTAATAAAAAATAAGGGTAACATTATTATCGAGGGCTCCTCATAGGCTTTTTATTATATTTTAATTTTAAAGAAAGTTATAAATATTTTAAGATATACAAAAAATTTATAATTTTAAAATACTCATAACTCGCTTTAAAATTAAAATGTAACAAAAAGCCTATGAGAACTGAGAAGCCCTCGATTATAATGTTACATTTAATTTTATAAGAGATCAATTCACTCTAAATTTTAAACGCGATCTGCTGAGCGTAAAATTTGTTGTGTAACGCACTTGTAACGCTGTGTCCTACGTGAGCGCGGCAAACGCGGCAAAAAACAAAACRGCTTGTATTTCGTTTTATAAATATTTATAAATATTTCTATTTCGAAAAAGGAACAGCATGGTCAGGATAGAATTCGTTCGCACTCGCCGCGTTCGTCGCGTTTACGTAGGACACAGCGTAAGACGGGTATAACGTCCTCTTAAAACTGTCTCGAGTCACATTCATCAACGTTTAGCGTGCCATAAGTCCGCCCAAGTCGTGTCTCCTATGTTCTAAAAATTAAAAATTA